CATTTATAAATGCGATCAAATTTTCATATGATAATTTATTAAAAAAGGAATCAAGTATAGAAAATGATAATAATAATAATAATCAAATTGAGGATGATAGATTAAAAGTTTTTGAAAAGTATAAAAAGGGAGAGAATGTATTAAGCGATGGAAACTGTGGGATTTATTCATTAGTAAATTCACTGAACTTCGGAAAAACAAATAAAATAACTTCTATATTAGAAATTTTAGAGCTATTAAACCTCGATGATCTTCCTAATTATTGGTTTAGCGATTCTGAATTAGCATCGTTGGCAAATTATTATAATCATGACACTTACGTTTTTGACTCCACTAATAAAACTGGAATCGTTTATGGGTTAGGTAATCGTCCACCTATAGTACTTTACAATGTAGAAAACCATACGCATTGGATTCCTGGAGTACTTTCGGATAAAAAATCCAAATATATTCCAAATAATGTAATAGGCTTCACAGAATTTGATCCCATTTATAAATTAAAACAATCAATAGCAAATCACGTTAAAAAATCATTTAACACAATTCAACCATGTAATGATTCAATTACTAATAAATCTATCACAAATAACAATAATGTAATTTTAAATATAAACACATTCACACACACAGACATAAAAACTATTACAGACAGAGAGAGTACGCCTATTAATATTTCACCTCAGTTACTAGATTCTAAACACAAACAAGCCTCTGAAAAAATAACAAAATACAATAATTCAGAATTGAATAATATTTTTAATATTAAAGAAGCAAATAGAGAAAATAAAACACAATTATATTTTTCCAAATTTAAGAAAATTTAATACTTCAACACAAAAAGTAGAGTTAAACAAAATAATAAATGAAAGCATAGAAACAAAAACATTATTTAACTTTATAACAACACCATTAATTAATAACAAAAGATTGTATTCAAATTGTTTAGTTGTTTTAGACAAAAATACAAAGGAGAGAATAAAAAAATTTCAGTTGCAATTCCAAACAACAAACAATCTATTAAAGACAATAGACAATTTTCAATATATTAATTTAATTAATTTAAATTGTCAATTTTTACAGATACATATAAAAGCAACAAATCAGTTAAAAATAAATTTAACTTATTTTTATAATAACAATCATAACACTATGAAAATAGAACAAGATACTTTTCAAAAAAATGAAACGCTATCAATTTTACCTAATAAACTTATTTCTCTTGGTTATAACTTAAATTCTTATATGAAAAATATTCCAAAAATTTTACAACATTTTAAAAGAAACGTTTTAACTACAAAGAATGCATTTTATCATTCTTTAAATAAATATTATTGGTCTTTTATAAATTACATACAACTTTTTGTTAAACACACCATGAAAAAGACTAGCATTAAGCATGTCATTTTTATTTTTGACCCCGGAGGTTAATAGTTTTATATAATTGTCATTAATAATCAAAAAAGGGAAACATTGTGTAACAAACATAAAAAAAAAATGTCTATAACAATATACTTATAATTTATTTATTTTTAAGTTGAATAAATATTACATAATATATTATTTGTTTGACAATTATCCATAATTTGTAACTGATTATAAATATACAAATCATACGAAAGCATATTTATTTAATGATTTCAATGAGTTAATAAATATTCATAATCTATGTTCTATATTTAATTACACCAAGTCTATATGTAAAAACTTAAAGTCTCAAAATGCAATTTTATAATTCACATCATTGTATAATCAGTAATATAATATTATAAATTTATAAAATAAATATTTTTGTAAAAAAACTTACAATTGTAAAGCAAATTTCAACTATTTCAAATCATTAAAAATTACAAAAGATGAAGAAAAAGCAATTCATACTAGTAATTATGGTTTAATAATTAGTTCAACGATTGCCAGTTGAAGATTTTGGAATTCAAATTAACAGTGAAAACTAAAAAATCAAGTGCTTATACAAAATAAACACTTAAAAAAAAAACCAAATTAAAGAAATCTATTTGTATTGCCAAAATTTATTTGCTTTTGACATCCATGGCTTCAAAAGAAAATTGAAGTCCAAAAATAAAAAAAATTGTAGATTTCTACATTCAAAAGCATTATGATTATAATTTACAAAACCAAATAGCAATACATCAAAATTGAAAAAGCCATTATTCTAGAAGAACGATAATGTCTGAACTTTTTATTTTTAATGATTATTACTACGTATGAAGGGAACAAGATCTTTCAGACTACAATAAAATTTCTTATACCGTCTTAAAATGTTAGTGGCATATTATTATGATATTTATTGTCATATTGTTATTGGCACAATATTTAAATATTTTATTTTGTACTATACATACTTATTTACTATCATAATATTATGTTTATACATTCTATATATATATATTTTTTTTCAATTAATATTATAAATGCATTAGATTATGTTATTAACATATAAATATTTTATATATTAATATTTGATATTTAATTACATAATAATTAATCATCATTATTTATGAACACTATTAATCAATTACATTTACGAAATTGTTATTATATCCTTATTATAATAAATTTTTTCTTGACCATACTCCCCTTAGTTGTGAGGACACAACTTTCAAAAAAATTGGGGTGGATGTAATGATATACATAGTACATCATTAATATTATAATAAATTATTTGTATACACAATAGATCATTAATGTCATAATGTATTATTTAAGACTTCAATCAATCAATTACACAAAATAAAATGTATACCAATAAAAATAAGATATATATATNATGGTTTTGTTTATATTTTAACTACTCGTTATTATTATCAAATTTATTAGTAAAATTTAAAATATGCGATGTTTTCTCTTTCTGAAGTGTTGTAAGCTCATTTAAAGGTTCAATAATGGGTTTTAATGTACGTTTCATGTAAACCTCATTAGCAGCATCATCGTTTTGAAATGATTGGAATTTTCGTTTAATATTTTGCTTGGCCTCGGCTAATTGTCTCAATATTTCGTTATTAGATTCTCCGTCCATTGTTAATCGATTACTGACAAAATCCCGTTATTACACGACATTATATTATTGCGAAAGTATCGAAACATTTACGATACCTGCCTTCATTTCGCGGATTATCTTTGTTAATTACTACAAAACTAAATTTACTATCGTTCCAACATGAATGACAAAATTCACGAAACTGGTTAAGTGTCATGTCCCGAATGTACGTCATGTTTCAACAAACATTGCTGATATTTTACAAGTTAATACTATATATGCGAGTGTAATATAGCAANACTATATATTCGAGTGTAATATAGCGACCGGTTCATATGATAATGGACAATCAAGCAAAGCGATCCATGCATTTTTTCCTTCTGTCCCAGCAGGATACAAAATTATAGAAGTACCTAAATCGTTAGTTTATTATCCGCTAAACACAACCACCGTATACAACGCTGAAGTTACATTACGGTCTCAATCTGGTAAAATAGTTGATTTGAGAAGGGAAACTTTAACTCTCCGCCTTCACATTCGTACATAGAACCATGGCTCTTAAGTTTAATAATAATATATATTCAAGTGTTCGTCGACCAATACGTAGTTCACAGTCACCCAGAGCAGAGACAACATTATATTTACCTAAAAAGAAAGCCGTGAGAAAATCGCCGCTAAAAGAAAAAACGAATAAGTCCGTTAGCAAACGTCATTTATCGTTTTTAAAATCGTTCTTTGAAATTATGGACGATTTATGCTTAGACGTGACGGAAAGTTATGTGGACCAGTGTAAAATAATTAGTCAACAGGTACAATCATTTTTGCCGTATAGCTCCACTGCGCTAGGTAAAAATGATGAAATACGATTTGAAATTCGCAACATGGACAGTTACACTTTACCAAGTGCCAGTTATTTGTACTTGGAAGGTGAAGTGAAAAAAACCTGATGGTATGAAGTCCAGTCCTAGATTTATTAACAACAGACTCGCATATTTATTTTCTGAAATACGTTATGAAATAAACGGTACTCAAATACAAAAAGTACGCAACCCGGGCATTACATCTACTTTGAAAGGCTATTGCTCATATAGCCCCGCTGATATTAACGAACTACACACTGCAGCATGGGACATTACTACTGAAGACAATAAGAACTTTTTCGACTGTACATATTTTTCTGGGATTATACTGCTGTCGCATATACTAGGGTTTGCCGAAGATTATAAAAAAATACTCTTAAACTGTACGCAATCATTAATATGTACGAGGAGTTCTTCAGACATTAACGTAATCAAATTGTTCGATGTGAACGAGTCCTCTGAAAAACTTAAATACAGCACGGGAACTTCTGGTGATACTGACGTTGTCAAGCTATTAGACACGAGTACCGCAGCAAAAGAAAAACTGTCTACAGTATCAATTAAACTAACAAAAGTTGTATGGAATATGCCAATCGTCAAAGTGACCGAAAAGGAACAATTAAAATTAATTAGAGTTTTAGATAGTGAAAAGCCTATACATTGCGCTCATAGAAATTGGGAATTGTGTAAATATCCGTTTATACCACAAAAAAAATCGTTTTCGTGGACCGTTAAAACATGTAATAATTTTCAAAAACCCCGTTATGTTATAGTAGGGTTTCAAACAGACCGTAAAAATAGTGAAAGTAAATCAATGTCTGAATTCGATCACTGTAATTTAACAAATCTTAAAGTCCATTTAAATTCAGAAGTTTACCCGTACAACGATTTAAGATGTAACTTTGACTGTAAACTATTTAGTATTTTATTTTCCTTCTATGTTAATTTTCAAAAGAGTTATTATGATAGACCTTGGTGTTCGCCTTTAGTAAATAAAAAACAATTTCTTAATTTAATACCTATTGCCGTAATCGACATGTCAAAGCAGAACGATACAATTACAGTCTCGTCTTTTGACCTAAGTATTGAAATTGAAGCATCAGCCAGCGTTCCCTGCTAATACAACTGCAGATGCTCTAGTAATTTCAGACAGTGTATTTACATATACACCTTTTGACGGAACTGTCCGTATAATTTAATTAAAAATTTTTTTACACGTTTATGTAAACATTTATTATTAACCTTGTAATTATTATTATTATTATTATGAAATAAATATATTATATACAAATAACAACACTTTGTTTTTTATTTTAGATTATAAGTTTATTATAAGAAACTAGTACAATATATAAAATTATTGTTTATAAGTTATTAATGTAAGTTAATTTTCTGACGTGATTTGGTTTTGGCTACTGAGAAGCCCATGAACTATAACTATTTTCTTGGGTTTCGTTGAAAAATGACGGTCCGTCATTTTCGTCATACATTTCTTCTTTTTCCTAAAACAAATTATAAATTTAATGACAATAAAGGTAATGATAATTTATATTCATTAAACTTACATTGATTTGATACGTGTCCTCGGACCACGACTTGACCCATCGATCGACTATTTCATCGCATGCTACATTCTTCAACTCACTTAGGTAGCTATTGTCAACTTTTGGGATAGTTTCGTTGAGTGTTAAATCGTTCATACTTCTTATTAAATTATACATTTCACCATTGGGTGATTGTTGAGTTCTAAGACCTGTCCATTTACCGTCGGCATATTGCACAATACGATCTATTTGATGTATTACTTGCATACGCTATTTTAATTTTCATGTAATGCCATTGTTAATAGTATACTCCGATTGCTTAAGCACCTGAATGTTTTCATTATTTAATAACACACGACATCCATCAAGTGTCACTGATTCTAATACTAAATGTTTTGTATCACCATATAATACTTTAGATAGTTTGAAACAATCATTTTGATAAAAAATATTGTTTTCGCTCCTCATAGGAGTTGATTGTAAAAATAGATTTATTTCATTCATCATGCCGTAAACAATATTTAAAAATTCTGCGGACATGCTAATATTAGTGTACGCGTTTCTGTGCAGGAGCTAGGTAGTGACCCTTCTTTGTAATTCCATTTTATTCATGCATTAGACGTCTTTACACAAGCATACATACCCCGAGATCCCTTTCTATTTCATTTTATTGTAGTCACTACCGGGTATCTATAGCCACTTTTACTTTCCATTGGTGCCCATCCTTTTTACACTACGCACGCTACGATTATTATTTCCTTATTGGTCACCTGTGTTACATTTCTTTACATTTCTTCCCTTTCACACTCTGAACCCCAAACACACTTAACAACATTCCTTTGCCACAACACACCATATCCTTTTTACTTCTTTTTGTTTACCACATACTATCCATAATTATATCTTTTTGTTTATTACAATATATATATTAGAGTGGTCCTTAGTTATAGATTATGAAAAATTTCTTTTAAAAATTCCTTGGTCTCACCCCCCAAATTTGTTTATGTACATGTAAAAACGAACCAAAAAAATTTCATGTCAATCAGACAAGTTTAACCCGTACCTACTCGGGGTTGAAAAATGGACAACAGGGGTAATTTTCTAGTATTTTGTACTTAATTCAGAATAGAGCGATCGTAGAAAAAAAATTATAGAATATAAATTGTTGACAATGTTATGGAGTATAAGTTTAATTTTTACACATTTTTATTAAACTCATTAGTTTTCGAGCAAAATTTAAAATTATACTATATTTTACCGATTTGCCGAAATTGGAATATTTACGAATACTACATTATATTTGACAAACATTTAAAGGTACAAATACAACTTTTATACAAAAATTGATTCATTCGATACATCAAATAGTTATAACAACATTTATGTATACTGGGGTGACTGATTATAATAAATAATATCACAAAATATAATAATGAAATAAATCACAAAAAGGTCGCAGTATTTTCGGAACATATAATAATAATTGATCACTTGTGGCTAATTAATTAAGTAAAATTAAAACTATTAAAAAAAAAAAAATTATTAATTTAAAAAAACTAAAAAATATTAAACTCAAAGCCACAAAAAATTAATGAAAAGTCGCGGATACGTATTTCGGAAACAATGTTACCATTATCAACGCTAAACACATACTGACAGCCCAACAAGAAAAAACTCCTTTATATACCCCTAGTGACCTTATCACCCAGTGACGTCATCACTAAGTAATATTTTCACATTTTGCCAGTTTACACAAGTTTAATAATGAATTTTTTAGTGGGCCAAGATCCCAATTAATTAAATTGTTTTTATTTATAAACATTTCTATTGCCTCCCTAATATTAAGTTCATTGTAATTATTTACATTTTTAATTAGTTTTATGGTTTTAATGGAGTGTTATGTGTCAATAAATGTTTAATGTTTCTTATGTAATCTTTAAATCTGGCCCTATATTTCTTTTTGTTTAACATTCGCATTTCATTTTATAAATGCCTGATTTTCCCCCTTCTTCTACCTTATCTTTAGGTTACCTAATAAATCGCTTAAATTACTACTCTTAGATGTTACTAAAGTAATACCAAAATATTTAATTATTCTAGGTCATTCATATGAAATGCCCTGAAATATAAAATAGGTTATCTAATTACTTTTTTCCCCACGCTAATGAGTGTAATAGCTGCTCTCCTTACTTAATTCAACTTTCAAAATATATCAATACTGAGTGATTCTTGTACTGTATAAATGAAATAATATAATTTAACTTTTTTTACCATAACGTATACTATTTTTTTATTTATTATCACTTCATCGGTTTATGTGTTTCGATGAACAAAATTTGTTTTTGCTTGAAAATGAATGTTACCTATGACATTTCAAGTCGCAGAAAATACGTTTTTTTCTCGCTTATTACTATTATCAATTCACTAAAAATGTAAAATATAAATACAGGATTTCTTAATATGAAAAATCAAAAAGATTTCTTCTGTCACTAGAAGAAGAAATTGAAGACGATTTATTTTTTAATTTGGAAATCTAAAATGATGAATTTTATAAATTGAAAAATTAACAAAAATTTAATTATCATTAATTTTATTGGAATAAATTATTATTTTGATAGTATAGACATTAAAATTCAGAATGTTGTATATATCGAAATTGAAGCAAACTAATATTGCTTTTTAGAGAAAATTTTATTATAAAGAATTTAATACACTGTAAATAACAACTTGTGACGTGTCAACAACTTGTGATGTGGTTTATTGTACATTACATAGTAGGCCATCGCTTAATCAACTAGTTAATTTTGCGATTTTTAAAAANATTAATCAACTAGTAAATTTTGCGATTTTTAAAAAAATTTCTAAATTTTTAATTTAAATAAATTGCATGTTAAAACATTTATACATATTTTAAAAAATTATTTTGATTTTTATAATCACGTAATAAATCGTTACATAATAACAATGAATTATAACATTTTTATATTTATCGTGGTAGTCAACGCGACGAATAGCCAGAAAAAATATGATGAAGGGTATGTATGCGATTTTTTAAATTCATTTTTACAAGAAAATAATTGGGACTTATTTCAAAATTCAGATATTGTGCGTGATATATACGATCACTATCCATTTAGCGTATTTAAATTATCATTAAATACAGAAGTGAAAGACAATCAAAACCAATATTCGTTTATAGTATGGCATTTATTATTAAACGATAAAGAATATTCTAAAAATAACATCGTCACAAGAAAAAATCTTCAACAAAAAATTAGTTATACAATGACACTAATTAATTATGAGTACATAATAAATTTAGCATTTATCGTTAATCACATAAAATATATATCTTCTTATTGTAATATATTTGATCAATGGGTTACTGATGTAAATGGTCCAACACTTCACGCGAAGTGTGTGAATTTATTAATTCGAAATGTTAATGAATCTAAAGAACTTATTCCACGTTATATTAGTGCAATAAATTTCCTAAGGAATTTGTTAAATGTAGAAACCAACACAGATACTTTAGACGAATTAATACAATTTATTGAATTGGTAAGCAGAGAAAAAAATGAAAATGACTATTCATTAGCGGACAAAATTTATCATAATTTCAAAGAAGTGTACGAAATGGATAATAATAATTTGCAAAAAATAGTAAACAATTATTCAGTAGCTGAATACAAGTATTGTGTAAATAAAAAAATGGACGATTTTAACAAATATAAATCAAACAATAAATTACCAAAAACGTTTCAACACTACGAATTTGCAGAAGTTATCTTAAATAAAAGTCTTGAACAGATGAAAAACGCGTATGCTAAACACGGCTTTCTTTATGACATAGATAAGAATGAAACTTTTTATTTATACGATGTAATAGTTAAAGAAAATAAAAAATCATGTTCTAGTTTTTTTAAGTATTAGAATATATGTGTCTCTAATAAAATATTATTTATATACATGGATGTTATATATTACATACCCTTTATCATATTTTTTCTGGCTATTCGTTGCGTTGACTACCACGATAAATATAAAAATGTAACGATTTATTACGTGATTATAAAAATCAAAATAATTTTTTAAATTATGTATAAATGTTTTAACATGCAATTTATTTAAATTAAAAAATTAGAAATTTTTTTGAAAATCGCAAATTTAACTAGTTGATTAAGCGATGGCCTACTATGTAATGTACAATAAACCACGTCACAAGATGTTATTAACAGTGTATTAAATTTTTTATAATAAAATTTACTGTAAAAAGCAATATTAGTTTGCTTCTATTTTGATATATACAACATTCTGAATTTTAATGTCTTGACTATCAAAATAATTATTTATTCCAATAAAATTATATATTATTTTATTTTTGTTAATTTTTCAATTTATAAAATTCATCATTTTAGATTTCCAAATAAAAAAATTAATCGTCTTCAATTTCTTCTTATAGTGACAGAAGAAATGTTTTTAATTTTTCATATAAAGAAATCCTGTATTTATATTTTAAATTATTAGTGAATTGATAATAGTAATAAGCGAGAAAAAAACGTATTTTCTGCGACTTGAAATGTCATAGGTAACATTAATTTTCAAGCAAAAACAAATTTTGTTCACAGAAACACATAAACCGATGAAGTGATAATAAATAAAAAAATAGTATACGTTATGGTAAAAAAAGTTAAAATGTATAATTTCGTTTATACAGTACAAGAATCATTCAGTTTTGATATTTTTTATGTATGCGAGCGTTGTATGGTGTAGCTGATGTGATTAAAATATAAAAAGTCATATAATTACATACATTAAAATTGAACAAGTTTGTTTATGTTGAAATATGAAAAACTATTATCGATAAATACACTTCACGGTTAATTTTTAAAACAAAATAGAATGGAATTGTCCATAAGTAGTGCACATTTTCATTCCCGGTGAGTATTAATGATAACCGGACAGTGTTGATTTGATGAGGAAGCAAATCAACTTAAAATAATTATAATCATTATCATAAGAAACGTTCGATGCAAATCTGTAGATAAAGTTTAATTTTATGAAATTGGTGAATTATTCCAAAAGCAAAATCAATACGTTTTATGATTTATAAGTGTAATATTTGTATAAATATTTATTATAGTAATTAAATATAATATGAAATTTATATTCAATAGTCTTATATTGTAATTCATACGGAAAATTATAAAAATTTAGTTATTTTATAAAATAGTTAAATTTAGTTTAAAAATTCACAAACATTGTGATTTCCGCTGAAGAAACTGAAATACTTAAGAAAGGTCTGATAAAAAATCCGGAACAAATGCATTTTACCACCCCATCGAGTTTTTTCATTTTTTTTTTTTTTTAAACGTGTATTTTTCAATGCTTTTTTCAAAAGTGTTTGAAAAAATTGTCGGAAAAAATTGGTTCAAAAGTTATAGCTTTTTAAAGTTGAAACGTCAAAAACTAAAAATAGCTCAAAAATTGTTTTTTTTTGTTAATTTTTGGGATTTTTTTTCATGATACTATTGTGAAACTATAATGACGTAATTATTACATAATATCCTCATTCTAAAAATCCTAAAACCAAAATTATCTTTAAAAATAAGGATTTTCCAAATTTTTTTTTCAAAACTACGCACATCAAATTTACGCAATACGAAATAAAAATAACAAGAAACTCAATTAATTCAATTTGAGCAAAAAAAAAAAAAAAGACCACGATGTGGTGTTTTACATAGAATTGTTAATTCAATAAAATAAAAGTTTTTACTGTTTATTATGTACACCAATTAACACTTGTTGTAAACAAAAAAAAAATACTATTACATTAGATATTGTTGATATTAGTTAAGTTGTTGAGGTATTAAAATATACTTACTAATACCTTAATGTTATAATGTTGAGTTATACAAACCCATTTAAATATAAGTTGTGGTCACCTACGCCTGCCGGCTCCGGTGACCGATTCGAGCCCCTTCGGGACTCTCATGGGATGGGGGCTCACGCCCCCAAACCCCCAGAGGATAGAAGTCAAGCCCAAACCCAACCTATTTAAACCCATTCGACTGAAATTCTCAGTGACCCAACAAGTATAAAACCTTGATGTTAAAATGGTGATATAATATTGAAAAAATAGATCAAAAAAAATTAAATTTATTTACTTCAACACTACCTTAACACGTTTAATGTACTCATAAATACTCTTAAATTTACTATTCCTCGGTAACTACATCATCGAGAATACTTTTTATAGTTAATTAATGAGAATTATCAAAAAAAAACAGCAGTATATAACAAAATTTGTATATGATTATTGAAATCTTTGAAAGCTCATAACTTTTAAACTAGACTTCGCCGACAAAAAAATTTTATATATTCTTAGTCGGTATGAAAAACTAAATTGATTTAAAAAAAAAAATTTGAAAAATCTCGATGGGGTGGTAAAATGCATTTAAGCCAAAAATCCGATGGAAGATCTACTAGTAGGCATTGAAATGGGGGTTAAAAGTGTTGATTCTAATAATCAAAACTTAGGAAGAAAGGAGTGTTTAAAATTTCTATAAAAAAATTTTGTTGTAAATAAAGGGGGTTAAGGAAATTACATCGCATGTATTATAGGCCAATCAACAAAGGAAACAAAGGAAAAATAGCGGAAAAAATTCCCAACCAATTTTTTTTTAAAGTTGCATTAAGATATGATAATGACGTACTAAAAGTCCTCATTGATTGGAATTGAGTTTTTTTTTACAGCCTCGTAAAAGTTAAAAAATATGAGCTTTTTTAATTTTCTCAACAAATATTTTAATTACAAAAAAAATTTTTGTACAAAAGTTGTTTAAAAGACAAATCTAAACAAAAAGGGTTGTAATAATTTTTATAAGTCTATAAAGTACTTAGTAATAAAGTAAAGAACATCGACTTTAGTATAACATAAAAGCATAAATGTATATTACCTTTATAACAGATTAATAATACATGAATATCGCGGGTAATTTACTATTATTTACAGACCATTGTACTTCCATTAACTTCATATCCCAATCTCTGATTTCCTCGCTTTTAGTTATCATCGCTAAACATTTAATAATAGTACTGTTTGTTTTTTCAACTTGACCATTACTCCTAGGACTTTTGGTTGCAGTTTTTACATGTATAATATTATGATCTCTACAAAACTTTTCAAAAATCACGGAAGTATAAGCGGAACCTCGATCGCTAATAAACCGAAGTGGCTTGCATTAAAGACTTCTAAAAAGTCGTACGTACACTAGGGAAGTCAAAATATTCAAAATAAGTTTTTTAATATAAGTTAGATTCATGTAGCTTTTGTGAAAATCTGTGGCCTCAATACATATCAAACCCTTGTTATATTATTTCAGTAAAAAATCGAATTCTACACTCCTATTATTTAGATATATTTAAATTTAAAGAACGATAGTACAGTGCCACAGTATGCCGTTGCATTGTTGGGATAAGTATAGATGATATCTGAGGGTAATTAAAATCATTATCATAAGAAACTCTTCTCTGCAAATGTGTAGATAATGTTTAATTTAAAAAATTTAATGGATTATTCCAAAAGCAAAATTAACTTCTATTTTTTGTTCTACTTTGACTATGACAGTCAAATTGATTTTTGTAATGCAAGAATACTGTACCCTACTGATTACACGAAGTGTGTGGATTCATTAATTCCATATATTGATGAATCCAAAGAACTTATTACACGTCATATTAGTGCAATACATTTCCTAAGGAAATTGTTCAATGTCAATATTAAAACAAATATTTTAAAAGAATTAAACATTTTTATTAATTTAGTATGTTTCGGCGTGATCTCTTACGACTAAAAGATCCGCGATAAATTAAATGAAACGTAAAAGAATTAAAAATATAAATATGCGTTTATTATATGTACGCGAGCGGTGCGCTTTACAAAGGTAGACTAACTGATTTTTAACCCGGACGACTATGCAGTCGCCGAACAACGATAAGATAAAACAACAATAGATACACTTATTGTGTAGGCCTAAACACACCGCCCGCCTTGAAATATTTGTTTCAAAGTAAAAGATAACAAAAAACAACTATAATCTAAGAACAAATTTCGCAACAACTAAAAACGTAAAAGGTAATACATAAATACAAAAAAAAATTAATATACAAATAATCATTAGAAACAAATTCATTATGGAAAAATTAATGATTAATACCACACGGGATATGACACATATATATTACAATAACTACGAATTATAAGGAATTTAAATAAATTACAAACTGGCTACAAACTGTTGCCTTCAAAAGGTAACGGACATAATAACCTGACCGCTCGTGAAAACTCGCCTACGTTAGTACGGACCTTTGCTGATCGTGCCACGTTGTCATCGTCACAGTATAATTCCATTACACGCCCAGCTTGCCATTTGAGTGGTGGTAAATTTGTCTCTTTTACCAACACAATAGTTCCAATTTGTAACTTAGGCCCTTTCGTGCTGGACCATTTGGTTCTTTCCTGTAGTTGAGATAAGTACTCTTGGTGCCACCGTTTCCAAAGTACTTGGGTGTAATGAGAGACTATTCTCCACCTATTTAAGTGAGTAATAGGCGTGGTCGTCTCGTCCTTTTCCGGTATGGCAGTCATTATATCGCCAATTAAAAAATGACCTGGTGTGAGATAGGTTAGATCAGCCGGATCAGAGGATACTGGAGTTATTGGTCGCGAGTTAAGTACCGCTTCCACTCTCGTTAGTACAGTTAATAATTCTTCGTACGTGAGCCGAGCTTCTCCTAAAACGCGATATAGCAAACTTTTCATACTTTTGACCGCAGCCTCCCAAAGTCCACCGAAATGTGGCGCACGGGGTGGTATAAATCGCCACTCAATTCCTTTGTCCGCTAGATGAGAGAAAACGGATCGCTGATGTTCTGGAGACTGGAAAAGTGCGTACACCTCCTTTAAATGCCGACGCATGCCCACAAAATTTCGGGCGTTATCACTGTAAATTATTGAACTTTTGCCACGTCGATCAAAAAATCTGTTCAACGCCTGTAAAAATGTCTTCGTTGACAAATCGCTCACGAGTTCGATATGTATCGCCTTTGTCGCGAAACATACAAATATGCTGATGTATCCTTTGTTACATGGTGCCTTACGACGCAAGCTCGTTCTTATCATGACTGGACCCGCAAAATCTACACCACATATGGCAAATGCTCTTCC